GACTCCTGACCCCCCCCACCCCGTCCCACCTCTATTCTACCTGACTGCGGAAACTTGGCATTGAAGTAAGAGATGTGGGTTATAAAGGATGAACGCGAACCACACTGCGTTGGGCCTTTACTTTCTATCATAGTGCTGAGCGCTAAGGAAAGGGAACTGAGACTCCAGACCCCGTCCTGTTAGTCATGCTGGAGTTGTGGTTGTTGACTGGGTTTCTGTTACTCCAGTGGGTGGCTTGCCAGGGTGCCCCAGGCCTGGACCTGCTTGCTCTTTGGGTCTGTTGAGCATTCTGGGTGGGGTCACTTGTATTTAAATGACATGTCATATCAGCAATTATGCCCCCTTCTTAGCAAAAAAGTCAAAAAAGCCTTTTCAAACATCAGTAGATGAATAATTCCTTTTAGTTGGAAAACTGGAGTTTTGGAAAGAGCAGTACTTTCCCTGGAATCACTAGGTTCATGGCATGATTGCTGCAATTCTTTGTAAATAAAAATGGTGGTGGAATTTTGCATTCTTGCCAACGGTTTGATATGTGGCATTGTTGACTACTTGTCACTTCCTCCTTTGTATAATTTCCTTCCTTGTGACCTAAACATATGACTTTTAATGAGTCCAGATAGGAGTAAGTCATAGTTTCTGTTTTAAAATATCTGAAGAATGAGGGGTGGCTCAGTTGGCTAGGCATCTGACTCTTGGTTTCAGCTCGGGTCGTGATCTCAGGGTTGTGGGATAGAGCCCCATGGCAGGCTCCACAGTCAGCGCAGAGTTTGCTTGGGATTCTCTCCCTCTCCCCCTGACCTTCCTGCGCTCGCTCGCTCTCTCAAATAAATAAATAAATAAATAATCAATCAATCAATCAATCTTAAATAATCCTGACCCCTTCAGTTCCCCGCACATACACACCCTAGCCTCCTGCGACTGTTTTTTCGCATTTCAGGGGCCTGTGGTGAGATTTGTATCTTGATGCTGGGGACCAGCAGACAGACTGACCTCCTTGCATATGTGTTGGTCATGTGCCACTATGCTGGAGAGAATTCACTCTGTTGTTTCTGTTCAGATTTCTTTTTAATGACTTTTCCATGAGGTGCCTTGGGAGTCCTGATTGCATCTTGATAGCTTTTGTTTCCCTGTGGGACAGAGGATTGCAAGCCCCTGCCGGCCTGTGGCCCTGGCCAGTGTGGCCGGGCTCACCGACGTACTGATTCACACTGCACCCTCCTCCCCTTCTGAACTTTCTGACAGCCTTGTGACTCTCATGTGGGAAATGAGTGGCTCTTGAGAAACCTCTACTGAAGAGTTGAACATTTTTCTTTGGAGATTGCTGAGGTGGTTTTCCTTAAAGTTAGCACATGCCTTGCTTTCTACTTAAATCTTGAGGACTAGGTGTTTATTCTTGAATAGTTCCTTCTTAGGGTTTGTTGGTGTTTCGGGTTTTGCTTTTCATGTTACTCATGATGTGCTGATATTAGTAACCTAAATATATATGGAAATGTTCCTTCGTTATTTGGAGCTTATATAGTTTCTTATGCATATGTACAAAAATAGTGCCTTAATAATTGCAGATTCACATACTATCTTGCTTTCTTTCCTCTACACTGATTCTTAGTGGTCCCTACAGGGAGCTTCCTTTCATCAGCAAATTAGCAGGAAGTAGAAATCATGTAAATAATTTCTAGGACCTCTTTTCACTCATTGACTTGACAAGCCCATTTTGGGCATCTGGTCTATTTTAATTAATATTTTTTTAAAACGTTAACTACCCCGTGCCTCTTGTTGCCACTTCATTTGGCGGGTAGTGTTGGAAGGTCCTGTACTGGTGCTTTCACTGTTGAAATTTCCTTTAGCCTTTGAGGCCCTGATGGATGGCATTTTGTGTCGGCTCTGTAGGTGTTGGCATGGTCCTGCGTGTGGTATGGAGAGTGTGGAATTGCATCTGGAGACAAGAGGTACAACTGCCAGTACTCGGGGCCACCAAAACCCTTGCCAAAGGACGGGTATGACTTAATGCAGGTAAGTTTGTTGTCCCAGGCACTGGGAACACAAAATGCTAATCCAAGATCCTCTGTAATTATCCCATAAATATCTCGGTGGGGTGGGGCTGAAACTAACAGGCTTAAGTCTTATCCCAAATGCTTAGCTGGGGCACACAGTGGCACAGAAGATAACATAACTCTGGGGCTGGAATTTCTCTGGGGCTGACTTTTTGCCTTTCTCATAGTTTCCTCATAGCAGGTTACAATTTAGGGACTGATCTTGGTACCTCAAATGTTGCTCTTTGCAACTTTTTTTTTTTTTTTTAAGATTTTATTTATTATCTGACAGAGACACAGCGAGAGAGGGAACACAAGCAGGGGGAGTGGGAGAGGGAGGAGCAGACTCCCTGCTGAGCAGGGAGCCCGACGCGGGCTCAATCCCAGGACCCTGAAGGTCATGACTTGAGCCCAAGACAGACACTTAAGTGACTGAGCCACCCAGGGGCCCCCAAATTTGGAAAACCTTTTACAAGAATCCTGCAAGAACTTTGCAAACACGTTTCTTACCTTTGCATACCTAAAAAAGGACTGTGTGAATAAAATTGCCTTATTTCATTGAGGGAATGTGTGTCCTTATTTGACTTTCTGCTGTGATAACCATGCTTTCTCACCCAAAAGGAGCTCTGCCCAGGACTCTTCTTTGACAACGTCAGTGTGTGCTGTGACGTGCAGCAGCTGCGGACCCTGAAAGACAGCCTGCAGCTGCCCCTGCAGTTTCTGTCCAGGTAGGCTGGCTGCCCAGCACGCACACAAAAACGGATTTGGAGCACTTGTTAACCAGGGACATTCTGATTTCCTCCTAAAAGTTAGTTTTCATGTTATTTCAAGAAAGCAATCTTAGGACTTCTCAGAAATCACGATAAAGTAATAAGTTGGCTGACATCGTTTTCTTCCCAGCTCCATGCAGAGCTGAGGCGTGGACTTCCTCCAGGTCGCCCCCCGCCCCAAGGGTGCCTGCACTGTGGAGTGGGTCCTTTCACTCTCGAGCCTCTGGGTGCTGTGCAGAGGAGGAGAGGTTGTTCTGGTGGTCCTGTCATGTCTGTGACCCTTCCCCACCCCTGGATGGCACGTGGTTCTCTCCCCTTGTGGTGAGATGAGATGCTAGAGTCCCAGTCCTTAGAGCTGGCCGTCGGTAGCTGTTAACAAGATTGTTCTGGTAGAGGTGGCTGGGTTTGTCAAAATTAGTCCACCGTCCAGGCCATTCTCTACGACCAGGGTCGTGAAAAGGATTGCATGATAGGTGTTCTTCTTGAAGCTTACTCAGCAATTCTAAGATGCGCAGAACAAGCTGGTGGGGGTCTGTAGAATAGCACCTCATGGTATCTTTCTAAATTTTTCACACTGAAGCATCCTGATAAAGGTGGGTGGGCGGGACATGGGAAGAGGAGAAGCCCTTCTCTGTGCACATACGATGGCGGGTGACAGGATAGTCAGCATCCACTAAGGAAACCCTGCTTCTTCCCAGAAGTTTAAATTGGCAATACAGGGTGGAAACCACCCCTAAACTGTCCTTTCAGGACAGCATACCATATAGGAGATCAAAAAGTTGAGAATCTAATCAGTCTAGATTAACCATGGGGTTAATCTAATCTAACCCCATGGAGGGCTAGTGGATATTGATGGAACCATCATTCAGTCAGAATACATTGATTTAGCACCCACTCTAGATGAGGCATTATGGACATAAAGATAACCAAGATCAGAAGATAACCAGATTTTCCCCCATGTCATCCACTCTATTTTTAATAGCAAATAATGAGAAGCTAAGGAATATTGTGCAGCTGTCGAAATTGATGATTGCGGAGATTAAACGCATAAACATGGCAAGAGTTTGTAATCTGTAGAACGTGGTAGAAATCTGCACCCCAGGAGCAGTTTCCATCAGGATGGTGTGATTGTGGTTCCTGTGCTTGTCATGGTAGAGCACGGGACTCCTGAAAGCGGGTCAGTGTGCATGTCTGCTCCCTCACCAGACCAGGGGCATTGAAGGCTGGGACCACCTTGCCTGGCACCTGCACGGGGTCAGAGTCAAGAGTGACTGCGATTTGGTTGTGCTGCGGGAATGCAGGTCTAATGAAGCAGCAGCTTTTGCAGATAATAGTGAACCCAACTGGGGAGACAGTTCTGCCACCCATTAAGTCAACATTAGGAGCTTCAGCCATGAACCTGAAGGAGACCAGACAGCTTGTAGTGTGCTTCTGTAGTGCGTACGGCCAGAGAACACCACCGCTGTCCTTTAGCCTCTCAAGCCCTGGGGAGATCCTCTTGTGTTTAGAGAGGGCCAAGGGATTACCTGGGGCTTGAAGAAAGCCCTTCAGTAGGAAGGTGAACATTCTAACGTGTGAATCTCGTTTTCCCCTTGTTTTTCTTCTTCATCAGAATTGTCAGCGCGACGGTCCCTAGTCCCTTTAGCTTCAACACAAAACATGTCCATAAATTACAAAGCACAGAATTCAGAAAAGCATTTTTCTCTTTCTGAAATTACACCTTGACAACATATGTGTAGTAATTAGGGCAGTTTTTTAAAGAGATCTCTGATTTTAGGTTTAGAATGGCTGGGTTAAAGATGTCTGTAGGTAATTTGTCACTTTATAATAAATTTTAAATGTTCTTTATTGTAAATCATGTTTTTGCTGGCCCTGTTTGTGGGATCAGACAAAATACAGTTTACTTTTTCTTTAGATGTCCATCCTGTTTTTATAACCTAATGAACCTGTTTTGCGAGCTGACGTGTAGCCCCCGGCAAAGTCAGTTTCTGAATGTTACAGAAACTGAAGATTATGTTGATCCTGTTACAAACCAGACGAAAACAAACGTAAAAGAATTACAGTACTATGTCGGAGAGAGTTTTGCCAATGGTGAGTAAACTTCTAATTATTTCTTTTTTTGTAGTTGGTATCACAACAGTGGATTCAGTTGTTCCTTTCAGTTGTCAGCTGTATGAAAATGATAATTTTTAATTCTGTTGGCCATGAAACACAAGTTGTTGCTTCATGTGTATCTAGGACTTGAGCTACAGCCCATAAAACAATCCCTTTAAAGTATTTGCTTAGCTCCTTCCTAACTTTAAGTTCCCACATAGAAATTTTTAGTGCGTGCGAGTTTATTTCTGTACATTTTGGAAGCCATTAGAACTTTGTTTCTAGTGGAGGTGAATTGTGTAACTTCACGAGTTTTTCCAAAACCTGAGAAGAGGGTGTGGAAGGGTAAAGTAGAGGAGGGAGATTTGACTCTGAAGAAACACATTACCATAAGGGAGAAAGGGAAGAGAAGAAACACATTACCAGCAGGAGAAAGAGATCTATAACACCTAGAAATCCTAGGACAATCTGAGAAAGACCATCTAGCATTTGTTGAAAATGACTGAAATGAAAGAGTTCTGATGTTAAGGATGTTAAGGGCAGTGAGGCTTGTTTTATACTGTAATGGTGGGTTCAAGTCATAATACATTTACCAAAACTCATTGAATGTACTACACCTAGTGTGAACCCTAAAATAGACTATGGACTTTGGGTGACAGTGTTGTGTTATCATAGGTTCTTCATTTGTAACAAACACACCGCTCGGGTGCTGTTGATGGTGGGGAGGTTGTGCTTGTGTTGAGGCAGGAGTTATAGGAGATTGCTTGATTTTACTGTGAATCTAAAACAATTCTTTAAGAAATCCATTAAAAAATAAAGAAATAGGGGCACCTGGGTGGCTCATCAGTTGAGCGTCTGCCTTGGGCTCAGGTCCTGATCCCCGGGTCCTGGGATTGAGCCCTGCCTCAGGCTCCGCACTCAGAGGGGAGTCCGCTTCTCCCTCTGCCCCTCCCCCAACTCATGCTCGCTTGCTCTCTTTCTCAAATAAATAAATAAAATCTTTAAAAAATAAAAAATAAGTAATTGGAGGCGCTAAATGCTAAGAGGAGAATGGATAAATACAATGGAGCATATAGTCACAGTCTATAATAGAATACTTAAAACTTAAAATGTATGAATTATGTCACTCACTTGAATGACTTAAATTGAAGTTACAGGATATATGTAGCATGTTGTTTACATTAAATAGTACTGCGTATCTGTGGATACAACATATCATGAAAGTATACACACCTGCGTAGGAAAGATTAAACATCAAATTCAGGTTGTGGCTTACCTTCAGGAAGGGTGAGTATTCATAGGGAAGGGTATTCAGGCGACTTCAAATAGGTGAATTGTAGGTGAATTATATTTCAGTAAAGTTGTTAAAAAAAATCCATATGTAAATATAGCATGGAAAAACTGTAAAACTCCAAAGACAAGTATCTTAAAAAGAAGTAGATAAAAGATAGAAATCGTCTTAAAAGAATGTCATTTGGAGATTTTCTTACCAGCAGTGTGACAGAGGCCAGAAGGCAATGGAGTCATCATAGTTCTAAGTCACTCTACCCAAACTGCGTTTCAAGAGTGAGAGTAAAACACGATGAATTTATTAAGTATCTCCTTAAAGTTTAGGGAGGAAGATCCTGGGAAGTTTCTAACAAGTAGGTGTGGTGTCTAAATGGGGTGTCTCTTGATCGGATGGGGGCCCTCAAATGTGGTACAAGCTGGAAGCTGGTGGCACGGGCAGTGAAAAAAAAATCACCTGAGGCAGAACAAAGGGGATAGAAGTCTATTGAATACACCTGGGGGTGGGGGAGGGCAGGCAGGCTGGACAGCCGAGGAGAGGCTGTCTGCAATGAGGCAGTGAGTGGGGGCTGTTTTTAAAGGGGAAGATGAGGAGGTATGGCGAGTATGGAATTCTCCCTTTTTTGGTAACTGTGCCTGGTTGTAAGTAGCCCATTGGTCAGTTAGGGTTTATGGATATTTGGAGGTGGGTCACCTGATGGGCCCTTTCTAGTTGCCACTGCTCAAGCCTGTGTGCCTGAAGGCGGCCTCTGCAGTAGGGACTGGTAAATGAATGTTAATACAGGACCCATTACTGCTACTTTTTTATGTGCAAAAGATCATTGACATTGTCCATATGTTGTGTGTTGTCTTTATGTGTACTAAAATGGAGCCAAAAGAGAGGGTCATATTAGGTCATTCACATGTGGCCTCTGCCCTAAAACCAGTCTCCTCCGCCACAGGGCTTCCTGCCTCAGATTTCTGGAACCAATTTCACTGACTGAAAAGGCACCAAGGGTCTTATTTCTCCTTTCTCAGCCTTAGTACATTCATCTCTGCAGTGGTGATAAGACTTCTCTGAGGGCGCCTGGGTGGCTCAGTTGGTTAAGCGACTGCCTTTGGCTCAGGTCACGATCCTGGAGTCCTAGGATCGAGTCCCGCATCGGACTCCCCGCTCGGCGGAGCGTCTGCTTCTCCCTCTGACCCTCCCCCCTCTCATTCTCTCTCTCATTCTTTCTCTCTCAAATAAATCTTTTTTTAAAAGATTTTATTTATTTATAAAAAAAAATTCTCTGAGCTACGTGGGATGATGTAAAGCCTTTCCCGTGTATTTTCTATGTTTAAGTTACTTGGAATCTAGCCCAGCATATTATGGGCAGGGTGTTAAGTCTGTGTCAGGGGTAATCTCCACTCCTGCCCCGAGTGTTTACTGTGTCTCGCCCACCAGCCCATGACTTGTGAGCACGGTGCAGATGGCCGCACCCGCATTTAAGAAACCTTTTGTAAGCTCTCCCCCAGTGACTAAAGCAATGTGGTGTTTCAGCCGTTTCCCCTCCTTCCTCTGCCAGCCATGTACAACGCCTGCAGGGACGTGGAGGCCCCCTCCAGTAATGACAAAGCCCTGGGGCTCCTGTGTGGGAAGGACGCCGAAGCCTGCAATGCCACCAACTGGATCGAGTACATGTTCAATAAGGACAACGGCCAGGCGCCTTTCACCATCACACCCATTTTCTCAGGTAGACTTCCAAGTTTGGCGCATTTATGATGTGGCTTTTGAGCCCAGGAACCTTAATCTGCAACAGGAAGATAAATTCAGATAACTAGTTCCTGGACTTTGCCTCCAGTGAGAGAGGTAACTAGAACATTCTCTCCCCAACCCCTGGTTAATTTAGGGGTGGGCAGTGAGCACGGAGGAGGAGGAATTGCCTTCAGGTGCTGCTACCCAATTGAAAGAATGAGCCTGGGTTTTTGTTTTGTATTTTTTAAAAAAAGGCCAGAGCATTAGGCCTTTTAAGGAGCCCCACAATCCTGTTAGACTCACTCCTCGATGGAGGTTTACCGTGGAATGTGGGGTACTCCAATCTCAGGGACTTGTGCCCGAAGTTATTGGAAGGAACTCAGACTTTTACAGGACAAGGCAGCAAAACATCTTGTGATCAAATGGAAGCTTCTGATCCTTTTTGCTCTGACGGTGGTGGTCCGTGTGTCATCAGTGTGCTCTGTCACTGGGTTTCAATATCATTGAATGCAAGCTGTGTCATTTGTTTTACTGAGCTATTCACTCAAGCCCATCCTCCCTGTAGATCTTCCGGCCCATGGGATGGAGCCCATGAACAATGCCACCAAGGGCTGTGATGAGTCTGTGGACGAAGTCACGGGGCCGTGCAGCTGCCAGGACTGCTCGGCCGTGTGTGGCCCCAAGCCCCAGCCGCCGCCCACTCCGGCTCCCTGGAGACTCTTGGGCCTGGACGCCATGTACGTCGTCATGTGGACCACCTACATGGTGTTCTTGCTCGTGTTTTTTGGAGCATTTTTTGCCGTGTGGTGCTACAGGTGAGCAGTTATGTGATCCCCAGGGTGAGAAGAGCAAGGTGATCCAAGTGGCACTTGCAGCTTTTGCCTGGCAGTCCTTGATTGATTAAATCAAGAAACAAGCATCACGTGAATATGCTCCATGATTGCTTATGTCCTATAGTTAATTAGTAAGCAGTCAAAGACCTGGTTAGACATTTGAACATTTGAAGTTGGTTTCATTGATTTATTCAAAACGAGTGAGTTTTATTTTTTTTAAGGTTTTATTTATTTATTTGACAGAGAGACACAGTGAGAGAGGGAACACAAGCAGAGGGAGTGGGAGAGGGAGAAGCAGGCTTCCCGCTGAGCAGGGAGTGATCCCAGGACCTTGGGACCATGACCTGAGCCGAAGGCAGACGTTTAACCGACTGAGCCACCCAGGCACCCGCGATAAGTGATTTTTAAAGCACTGTGCGTTACCCACCCATTCTTTAACAGAAAGTCTTCAGAGCTGAATCTGATTCAAAGCTAATTAAATGCAGTACTGTCTGCAGTCCTTTTAGATATTCACATCTTGATTAGGAAGTACATTTGCTTTAACTTTTTGTTTTGAAATAATGTTAGACTTACCAGGAAGGTGCAAAAATAGAATTTATATGCATCCTTTATGCAGCTTCCCCTAATGTTAGGAATTTAACGTCACTCGCAGTATGTAATTACCAGAACCACAAAAATGACGGTGTAGTAGTATTAGCTAAAGCACACACTTTGTTCAGATATCACCAGGGAAACCTTCCTCTGCTGCCCTTGTTCTCTTTAGGACCCCACTCCACATTCACCTGTTCATTACTTTCCCCCAGTGCGTGACGGATTTTCTGGAATTTTTTTATGACCTTGACACTTTTGCTGAGTACTGGGCAGTTATTTTGTAGAATGTCCCTCAGGCTTTATCCGATCAGGTCTTTATCTGATCTCATGATCAGATTGAGGTTCTGTGTTTGTGACAAGAGTATCAGAGAAGTGATGCGTCTCTGTCAGCGTCTTGTTTCGTGGCTACACAATCTCGGTAGGTCTCCGCACTGGTGATACTAACTTTGGTTACTGGGGGACGAGGGTGTCTGCTGGGTTTTTCTCCTGTAGAACTGCGGCTTCTCCCTTTGGAGTTGATCAATATCTTAAGGGAGATAGGTTAAAACTGGGCTGATACCTTGTTTCTCCTAAAACTGTCCACTGATTGTAGCATCCACTGGTGGCTCTTTTATTTATTTATTTATTTATTTTTTATTCATTTGCGAGAGAGACAGAGAACAAGCAGGGGGAGAGGCAGAGGGAGAGGGAGAAGCAGACTCCCTGCTGAGCAAGGAGCCCGATGCGGGACTCGATCCCAGGACCCTGGGATCATGACCTGAGCCGAAGGCAGAGGCTTAACCATCTGAGCCACCCAGGCGCCCTCCACTGGTGGCTCTTGTCTGCAGTGGTTACTACTGTGGTGTTTGTGTGATGGTGGTTTGGTGGTTTGGTTGTATTTCTTCTACCTTTACGAGTTGGACTTACTCTGTACACACAGTTATCCTTCCTGCTCTACTTCATTATTGATTCAATTATATTTATATCATGGACTTTTTTTTTTTTTTTTAGTTTTGTCGGCTCTACGCAACACTGTCCTTTGTTTTGTTGCTCAGATTTTTCCAGTTTTAACCATTGAGAGCGCCTTCTGGTTGACTCCTGTGTTTTGTTTTGTTTTGTTTTTAACATGCCCCACCTTTCTCAAGCGTGTACTTAGTTTCTGGAATCACAAGATGTTCCAGACTCATCTTGTATTTTCCCTGCCCCAGCCCTGGAATCCACCTCTTCCACAGGGAGCCATGGTTCCCTGTGTTGTAGACTGATGCAGACTGATGTTATACTCTAGGCACTAGGTATGCAAATTGCCGCTGCAGCATAGTGTTCGCTGCTTTTAGAGGACCTAAAGTTTTAAACCTAAATGAAGGCTACAAGGTGAAACTATCCTTTATTAATCTGTTTTTTAAAATACCTTCTTAGGTACGCCTGGGTGGTGCAGTCGGTTAAGCATCTGACTCTTGATTTTGGCTCAGGTCGTGATCCTCAGGGTCGTGAAATCGAGCCCCGCATCGGGCTCCGCCCTCAGTGTGGAGTCGGCTTAAGTTTCTCTCCCTCTGCCCCTCCCCCTGTCTCTGTGCTCACGCTTTCTGTTGCACTTTCTCTCTCAGATAAATAAATCCTCCCAAAAAAAAATACCTTCTTAAATTTTCTCCTGAGACTGGTGAGCAGGACTAGAGCAAGGGAACCTGCGGGTGGTGGGGAGGCAGCGGCTCAGGGGGAAGAGGACCGAATGAGGAAGTAAGCTTTTAATGGGGTTGCAGGACTGTTAGAAAAACAGCCTCATTATGTCGGAGGTCCACTGATACTACTTACATGCTTTTATTTTTCAGAAAGCACTATTTTGTCTCCGAGTACACGCCCATTGATAGCAACATCGCTTTCTCTGTAAATGCTAGTGACAAAGGTAGGCGCATCTGTACTTACACGGTTAGGAGTGTGTGGGCTCGAGTGTTGGTTTCCTCCACAAGTGTCTGTGCCCCGGTTCTGGGCCAGGCAGTGTGCTCATGTCAAGGACACGGTTGTGATCCAGACAGACTGGTCCTGGCTGGGCTGGCACACAGAAACAAGTACTGAGTAACCGTAGTAGGATACTTAGGCACGGGGGTTAAGAGCTGGTGGGGGGGGGGGGGGGGGGGGGGGCGGGTGGAACAAGCAGAGAACAGGTGGAGCCACAAAGCTGGATGGGAACCGCTGTGGACAGAGTGCTCAGAGCACTGTGCCCCTGAGCGAGCATCGTTCCTTGGGCGGGTGGGGACGGCTGTCACAGTGGGCAGGCAAGCAGGGTGGCTTCCTGAGCAGGTAGGTGCTGAGGGTCGGGGTGGGGGGATCCCGTGCCACCCCCGCTGCAGGCACAGTGCCTGCGCATGTGGCAGTAGCTAACGCTTTCCCTGTTCCGACTTTCAGGAATGGCTTGGCTCTTAACCTCCATCCTCCCTTCCTCTCCCGCTCTTCCAGGGGAGGCGTCCTGCTGCGACGCACTCGGTGCGGCATTCGAGGGCTATCTGAGGCGGCTCTTCTCCCAGTGGGGCTCTTTCTGCATCCGAAACCCAGACTGCATCATCATCTTCTCCCTGGCCTTCATTGCCGCCTGTTCGTCAGGCCTGGTGTTTGTCCGGGTCACCACCAACCCAGTGGACCTGTGGTCCGCCCCCGGCAGCCAGGCACGCCTGGAGAAAGAATACTTTGACACACACTTTGGGCCCTTCTTCCGCACGGAGCAGCTCATCATCCAGGCCCCCAACACCAGTGTGCACACTTACCAGCCGTACCCCTCAGGATCCGATGTGCCCTTCGGGCCCCCGCTCGACATAGGGATCTTGCACCAGGTAATGTGCTCTTAGCAGAAATCAGTCCCAGGAGCCCAAGGGTGTGCTAACTGGCTTTTCCATGTGGACCAGTTCTACCTGATGTCAGAATGAGGCTGAACGTAGTGGGAAAGCTTGAAAATCTCAACAGTGAAAAAGGAAAGGTGTTTTTCGTTTACTTTTTCAAGAAAGTAAACAGTGGATTTTGAACTTAATGAGAAATTGACCGTAGGCTGCTTGTGTATTTACTTCATATAGCAGGGCTGGCTTCTTTCTTGAAATTGAGATGAACATTTCTCTATTGAAGCAGAATGTATAATTTACCTTAGTAAATTTTTCCCTTGGTAATTGAAAAGTAATGTGCCAGGACCCCAAGGAATGAAGCCTCTTATGCTGTGCTGGGGGTCCAGGAAGGAGCTACTGCTGACCCCCCCTGCAGGAATGAATTTATCATTGCCTGAATGTGGGCCCCAGCCTGCCTTTGGTAAGATGTGCATTCGGAATGAGATCCATCCCGTTCTCTTACAGAGGCCTTGAAGCTTTCCCATTTTCCCTGGTCACACTTGCCCTGGAGAACTCTATCTATGGAGGGAAGGGGGGATGTTTGTGTGTCCTGCACTGAGTTCTGTCCTGGTGACAGACAGTGTCCCCTCCCACCTCTCGGACGCCTCTCAGCAGGGTCTCTCTCCCAGCTAGCTGTCTCTAAGAAGGGGGCTCCTGGTGCTGTCAGACATGTTACCACAGCACGTCTTAGTCCTCTCCCTTGTGTGAGGAAGCATTTTCCCCAAATACTTTGTATCTTCTGACCTGTCAGGGCAATAATTAGTCACAATCTGAGAGAAATCTGATGTGTTTCTGGATTTGTTTTTAAAATCTTCAGGTCCTGGACTTACAAACCACCATTGAAAACATCACTGCATTTTATAACAACGAGACCGTGACACTTGAAGACATCTGCGTGGCCCCCCTCTCACCCTATAACAAGAACTGCACCATTATGAGCGTGTTAAATTACTTCCAGAACAGCCATTCCATGCTGGACCACAAAATAGGCGATGACTTCTTTGTGTATGCCGATTACCACACGCACTTGCTATACTGTGTACGGTACGTGGCGGGAGATGTTCATTCATTCATCCCACTGACCTGGGAGCACTTGCTGTCGCTACACACGGTTGTTGGTGCCAGAGACCCGGCAGCAAGCACACAGCATGTCCATGCCCCGCGAAGCACACGTTCGAATGCAGGGAGACTGACACTGAATAAATAGATACATGCTTGTGCCAGGTAGAGATGAGAGCTTTGGAGAAGTTAAGCCCGGCAAGGAGATGAGTGCAGTGGGGGTGTGCCGCTTTAGATGGAGTGGACACCTGCTCACACGGAAAGGAGAGAAGGGAACCTGTGAATATTGGAGGGAAAAGTGTTCCAAGTACACAGGCAGCAAGTACAAAGGTCCTGGGGTGGGAGTGTTCATAGTGTATAAACTGAGCCTTTAACTCATGCCTGGAATGATAACACATAGATGCATCTGCCATACCACCAGTGGTATCATAGTACAAAAACAGAAGCCTGTAGTGCTTTTTCTTGTCTTAAAAATATGAATTTATACCATGATATCAAATTGTTTTTAAAATGTTGGGGCACCTGGGTGGCTCAGTCTGTTAAGCTTCCGGCTCTTGGTTTAGGTCAGGTCATGATCTTGGGGTTGTGAGAACAAGCCTCACGTCAGGCTCCACATTCAGCGTGGAGTCTGCTGGAGATTCTCTTCCTTTCCCTCCGCCCCTCTCACGCATTCATGTACACACTCTCTCTCTCTCTCTCTCTCAAAAATAAATGAACGAAAATGTGCAGTGTCCCCTTGAGAAGTGAGGGTAGGATTGGTGTGCAGTTCAGACTGGAGGATGCTGAAGCGGCTTCGCATTGGAGGCCCATCTAGCTGGGCAGGCTGCGGTTATCATTTGCATTAGTCACAGTGCTTGGTGACTGTGACGTGATGTTTAGGTCTGTGCCCGTGGCGGGGAGAGCAGCCTGCACTTGATAGGCCTGCTGTCGCTGAGTGCCCTCACGTGGCCTGGAGACATTTGTTCAGCCAAACAGCCACTATGGCTGTTGGGTCACTTTGGGGACAGAGAAATTATTACTTGTCATTTTTTTGAAAAAGATTTTTTGTTTATTTTAGAGAGGACGAGAGTGTACACGCGAGTCAGGGGAGGTGCAGAGAGAGAGACTCTTTGGAGCAGTCTCCCCGCTGAGCGTGGAGCCAGACATTGGGCTCGATCCCACAACCCTGAGATCATGACCTGAGCCAAAGCCAGGAGTCGGATGCTCAGCCGACTGAGCCATCCAGTGCCCCTATTCCTTGTCACTTTTGAGTGTGCTGTCAACTAACCACATCTCTGGAGCCAGCCACTCTGACATCTCGTCTGATCTGGTGGCCTTAAGCTCTGTTCTGTTTTTGTTACTGGGATGTGATCTTGAGGTACTCAGGCTGCATTTGCTCTATTTCATAAAACAGTAACGGTATGCCCGTATACGCTAAACCAGCGTTCTCCACAGGATAGATGGTACAGGGCGGCCATGGGCAGTTTGAAAAATGAAAAATTAATATTCTTCAATTTTTATATTTAAAGGGAAAAGCTGTTTACTTCCTGTCTTACAAAATGGAAGTCAACAAAATTTTGGCAGAGAGGATGATGCAGGAGACTAGTGTTTTATCCAAGGGGAGATGGGTTCAGGTCGGTGCAGAAATGCTGCTGTGGGCCACTTCGCTCCCACCGGCAGATCTTTGTTTGCTCTTCTGTGTCTCTGGCTCTCACCTCCCTCCTCAGCTTTTCGCCGGCTTTTCCCCCAGAGGTCCTGCGGGCCTGGCAAACCCGCACCCAGAACCAAGCACGGACCTCCTTCTTCCCCCGTGTCCCCTGTATTGTGTGATGGCACCAACATCTACCAGCAACTCCAACTCGAGGCTGTATTTCTGCATCCTTCCTCATCCTCACCTCCCTTTATGTAATTCTTATGGATTTTAGCCTCCGGATGAGCTCTCAAATCCATGATGGGGTGGCAGGGCCCCATGTGTGGGCTGAGGGGACTTGGCTTCTGGTTGCGGCCCTGCAGCCTGTTTGCCCCACGCGGGTGGCCTGACCTCCAGTCGGAGCCCATCAGCCACGGGCTCTGAAGGGCCAAGCTTCGGGTCATCTGTGAGAACCGTCCTGAGTGCCCAGCAGAGGTCTGGCTCAGGATGTGTTCTGGAATGCTGGTCCCCCCACTGGCTGTCTTCACGGCACCACCCTTGCCTGGACCCTTGCACGAACCTGACTGGTCTGTGGGCTTTTGCTTCCCTTTCCGCCCCACTCCTAGACCTTCTTCCATTTTACCACCTGAGTTATCTGTGTAAAACAGCTCATGACACCCTTTTCCCCCAGGTCTCTCATTGCTCCCCAGTGTCTCAAGGGTAATGATCCAAGCCATGCAGCAGGGCACTTAATCCTTTTTTTCATTGTCTGTCCCTCACCCTTTCCAGCCCTGCCCCTTCCCTCAGAAGTCCTCCCTTCGTAGGCGCCCCATGCTCTGGACAGGACTTTGTGTGGCTCCTCACACGGCGATCTTGTGGCTCTCTTCTCCCACGTCCCTGTTCTCGTTCTTTCTTCTCTTCCCATGTTGCGGTTGTAAGAGCACCCTCACTGCCCCCCGCCCGGGTGAAGCCCCCCCAGCCTTAGAGACCTGCTTGCGTACAGCCTCCCCTTTTGGGTGGCAGTCTTCTGTGTGTGTTAGCTGCTGCCTCGTCCGCGCTGTGCACCGCGTGAGCTCCGTTCCCGTGTGCGCCGTGCGCCGTACCTTACCGACCGCATCGTGCTGGGTTGGCCTGCCTCTGGCTCAGTGAGGCTGGCTCCCAGAGGCAAGTGCTGGACCGCATTACTCACCTAAGGAACCACAGGGCCCACGTGGGGCTTAGGATATCATCGGCGTCTTTAACTGTTTGTTGTGTAAATGTTTAGGTCTCTGTGATGTCTTGAGGCTCGTTTCTAACTGGGAGGTGTTTTCTAAACCACTTCGCAGGGCTCCCGCCTCTCTGAATGATACCAGTTTGCTCCATGATCCTTGCCTGGGTACGTTTGGTGGGCCAGTGTTCCCGTGGCTTGTGTTAGGAGGCTATGACGGTAAGTAAGGGAAGCTTCTGCTTTTCCTATTAGATAAAGTAGTCTTGGTTCTGTCACTAAGAGTCAAGTGGTAATTACCCCAAGTGTAGGCTTGCTTTGGGCTTTGGCTTTGGATTTTCTTCTGGGTTTAAAAGAAGTAGATGATGCACACTTTGGGAAGCTGTCAAAAGCCAAGGATTTTTCACCAGAATATTGCAATTGTGCACCTCCACATAACTCATTGTTCAATTTCAAAGAGTTCAGGGAACCCTTAGGGAGTCCGTGGACCTCAGGTTAAGAACATCTATGGGGCACGTGGGTGGCTCAGTCAGTTAAGTGTCTGCCTTCGGGATTGAGCCCCGTGTCGGGCTCCCTACTCAGCAGAGAGCCTGCTTCTCCCTTTTTCTCTGCCTTCCAGTCACCCTGCTTGTGCTCTCACGCTCTCAAATAAAATCTTAAACAACAACAACAACAACAAAAAACTGTGATGGGAGTGATATAATAAGGTGAGATATGGGAAAAAAGAAACAAAGTTGTTCTATGTTTTCTTCCTAAACCAGTTGGTTAAGAATTGAGACACTTCTGTAGGGGGAGGAGCAGTGGGTTTGCTCTTTGCTGGTTGATTCCTGTAGCACCTAGAACAGACTGTACCAGGTATGATGGGGCCATGATTCAGGTGACACCTTTGGCATCAGAAGCCTAATTATGGGCAGCTCAACAGGTTTTTCTCCAGCTCAAGGAAGAGGCCAATTAGATGTTGTTCTCCTCACCCAGTAGGAGGGGATAAGTCCTATCTATATTTAAATTTTACTCTGCCTCATAAAATGCCACTTCTGATCCGTGGGGAAAAGATGGTGTCACCAACTGGTGAGCCATAACCATCAAAATTAAATTTGATCTCTACCTTATTCCATCCACATAAACTCCAGATGTGTCAAAAACAGATGTATAAGAAGTGAAGCTATTAAAGATCTAGAAGAAAATACAGGAGGAATTTTCAGAAATAATTTTAAAATGGAGAAGGCATTTTCTAAGTGAGGCACAAAAAACCCAGAAGCCACAAAAGGAAACATTGATGAATTTGACTACATAAGAATTTAAAATTCCTATGTGGAAATGAAGCATCATAAACTTTAAAAAAAAAGGGGGGGCAACTAAACCAGAGGGGGACTAAAAACAGTACACATAATGGATAGCGTGTCCTTAATATATAAAGGGCTCTTGTGAAGAAAAGAAAAGACCAGCAACCCAGAAGAAAAGTAGGCAAAGCCATATGAAAGTTAACAAAAGAACAAATACACAGGGCTATTCATTATATGGGGGAAATGCCTAACCTCACTCCTAGATAGTGAAATGCACCTCACTTCGGTCTTTGTACCTAACACAGGGGCAAAGACCTAAGAGTTTGATAAACCCTCTGTGGGCGAACGTGATAGGGACCCCATTGTTGGCAGGAGGGTAAATGGTTCCTAGAATGTAAGCTCCAGGAAGGCAGGGATTTTCCTCTTTTGTTCACTGATACATATCCAGAGTACCTAACGTAATTAATGCCTGGCACGAAGCAAGACCTCAGTAAATGTCTTGCTGAATAAAGAAATGAAAAAGAGGATAGCCTCTTTGAAGGGCAGTTTGGGGGAATTTATCAAAATTACAATTGCACATACCTTTTGATTCAGTGCTTGTACTTACAAGAATTGATTCTCCAAATACGTACTTTACACATGAAAAGTATTTCCCAGGTTATTCTTTGTAGTACTTTTGTGTATAATTTTAAAAATTGCAAAAATGTCCATCATCTGGAGATTGGTTAAATTATACTAGAAAATAAGATACAGCAGGAAAAAAGCTCTTTATGTCCTAAAATGGAACCATCTCCAAGATACAAATTAAAAAACGTAATGTGCAGAACAGCGTGTGGCTAGTCAGTTGGGCGTCTGCCTTCGGCTCAGGTCATGATCCCAGGGTCCTGGGATCGAGTCCCGCATCGCTTCTCCTTCTGCCTGCCGCTCCCCCTGCTTGTGCACGTGCATGCATGCTCTCTCTCACAAATAAATGAATGAAATCTTTAAAACTGTATGTGTATATTAAACTATATAAATATTTATAGAAAACTGTATATATATTTTAAAAAAAAAACAAAGGAAAGGTCAAGAATATATGTGTTTGCTTGAGCATGCATGGAGTGTCTCTGGAAATAGTTCAGATAGTGGGGAGGAGAACTAAGCGTAGAACGGACTGGGGAAGGGGAGTCTACAGGGATCGCCTTCCTGCTTGAAGTCTTTACCATGCGCAGGCTACATAGTTAAAAAAAGGTTACTCATCCTGAGTGAAACTGCCCATGTCAGATTCTAGAACATCCTTTCTATTCCGTAGCTGAGCTGCACAGACACTGCGTCAGTGAACAGGTTTTTGTTCTTAGAGCATAGACTGCAGCCCCCATGAGAAACCAGTCACCTCGTGGTCTCGGGCTTTTCCGTCATGTTTATCTAATTTTCTGCCTGCTTCTCATCTTCTGGATGTCCCGTTTTTCCCATTCTAGATCAAAACTACAATAATGCCACAGCCCTTGTGATTACCTTTCCTGTCAATAATTACTACAACGATACAGAGAAGCTCCAGAGGGCCCAGGCCTGGGAGAAAGAGTGAGTTGCTGTCTTTGTTCTGTGGGAAGCTGGGCGCTAACAGCATGCACTGAAACTTCGTTCAGCTAAATTAACCAACAGCAGATCTGAGTCATTTTTTTCCCACTTGGTACTAATGATGCTAAGAAAAAAGTCTGTAAGACAGTTCATCCGTAAACGTTGTGTGACTAGATAATCCCTGCACAGGAATGCGGAAGTCTACCTCGCGTGCACCACCCCTCTCACAGCAAGCCGCCGGGAGCAAGCTGGGTGCACATTAGTAAGGGACACGCACGGTAGGAAATCCTGCGGTCACTAAAGATAGGTGAATAGATGATTCCAGATGAAGGACATAAAAGCTGCATTCAGCGTGTCTAGGGAAATATGTGTCCATCCCTAGAAAAATCTCAAGCACGGGCCCCGGGAAATCGTTAATCGTTAACTCTGGAACCCCTAGAGCATAGGACAGAGAGCTGAGCAAGACAGAACACTTGTGACCCTTTATACCTTGCGGTGCTTTTTGTTTTAACAGCTTTGTTGGAATATGAATCCCATACCAGACATTTCACCCAACTAAAGCGTGATCCAGTAGCTTTTAGTGTATTCATTGATATGCACACATACCACAGTGAATTTGAGAACTTTTTTGTTTTTTAATCTCAAGAAGAAACCCCATCTCCTTTAGCTCCTACCCCCCATCCTCACCCTCCCACCTCCCAGCCCTGCGCACCCATTGATCTGCTTTCCGTCTCCGTATGATACTGTATTCTGGACATTTACATGAGTGGAAGCATATACGTGGACTTCTGTGTCTGGCTTCTTTCACGTAGCGTGTTTCCAAGGTTCACCCAAGTTACAGCATGTATCAGTACCTCATTCCTTTTTATGGCTGCATAATGTTTCATCCTGGGGATATGCCTCATTTTTATCCATCATTAGCTGATGCACATTTGGGTGGTTCCTACCTTTTGGCCATTATGAATAATGTCTCTGTAAGACATTCATATACACATTTTTGTGTGAACTTTAATACGTTTCCATTTCTCTTGGATATATACCTAGGAGTAGAATTGCTGGGTCATATGGTAACTCTTTGAAGAATTGCCAGATTATTTTCCACTGTGGCTGCACCGTTTTACACTCGCAGCAGCCTGTGTGAGGGGCCCTGTTTCTCCACATCCTCGTGAACACTTTTTATGTGACCCTTTGGTTCTGGCCATCCTAGTGGGTGTGAGGTGGTATCTCAGTGTGGTTTTCATTTGCATTTCCCTGATGGCTCCTGATTTCAAGCATCTTTTCTTGTGCTTGCTGGCCATCCATATAACTCTTCCTATCCTTTGTCCATTTTTAACTGAACTATCTGTATTTTTACTGTTAAATTATAAGAGTTCTTATATGTTCTACAAGTCTACTGTCACCTATATGATTTCCAGGCATTTGTTCCCAGTTTCTTTGTTTTGTTTGTTCTGTTTTCTCGCTGGTGCCCACTGAAGCACAAGTTTTTAGTTTTAAAGTCCCATTTTTTAGTTTTTTCTTTCGTCGCTCAAACTTTTGGTGACCTATCTGAGAAACTATGGCTTGATCCAAGGACATGGCAACTTATGCCTGTGTCTGCGGAGGATTTTAGAGTCCTAGCTATCACATTTAGGTCTTTGATCCATGTGAGTTCATTTTTTCATGTAGTGTGCTACCCACATGATCCCGGGCCATTTGTTGAGCAGATGACTCTTTCTGTCATTGGATAGTCTTGCTGCCTTGTCGACAGTTAGGTGACCACAGACACATGGTTCCTTTTGAGACTCTTAGTTGTGTTCCTTTGATCTGTTTGCCGATCCTTACGCTGGTACCACACTGTCCTGATTACTGTCATTTTGTAGAAAGTGTGGAATCGAGAAGTGTGTGTCCTCCTCCTTTGTTCTTCTTGAAAAAGAAGGGTTTGGGGCGCCTGGGTGGCTCAGTCGGTTGGGCGACTGCCTTCGGCTCAGGTCATGACCCTGGAGTCCCGGGATCGAGTCCCGCATCGGGCTCCCTGCTCGGCCGGGAGTTTGCTTCTCCCTCTGACCCTCTTCCCTCTCGTGCGCTCTCTCTCTCATTCTCTGTCTCTCGAATAAAATCTTTAAAAAAAGAGAGAAAGAAAAAGAAGGGTTTGGCTCTTCTGGGCCCCTTTCAATTCCAAATGTGAATTTCAGAATTAGCGTATCTTTCTATGAAGAAGTCAGCTGGGATTCTGATAGGGATTGCACTGAATTTGTAAATCAGCTTTTAAAAGTTTGTTCCATGAGTATATATCTTTATTATAATATGCTTCATTTAGAAATCCTTTTTATTTATTTTTTTGAAAGATTTTATTTTTATTTATTTGACAGACCCAACGAGAGAGGGAACACAAGCAGGGGGAGTGGGAGAGGGAGAAGCAGGCTTCCCGCGGAGCAGGGAGCCCGATGCGGGGCTCGATCCCAGGACCCTGAGATCATGACCTGAGCCGAAGGCAGACGCTGAACGACTGAGCCACCCAGGCGCCCCTAGAAATCCTTTTTAGTAAAAAAGAAATGAGACCATGAACGAACTTTTTTTTTCTTTAAATTTTTTTTTATTGTTATGTCAACTTTTTTTCTTTTTAATGAATTTGCTTGTCATCTTTACGCAGGACCCATGCTAATCTTCTCTGTATCGTTCCAATTTTAGTATATGTGTTGCCAAAGCCAGCACCACGAGCTAATTTTTAAACTTGTCCTAAACTTGTTTCAAGTGATGGAAACTTCAGCATGTCTGGAACTTTGTAATCTGGGGTTGTCTCACCTTCTGGTCCCTAGTGTCAAAAATCCTAATACAGGGTACAGGTTAAGTAAGCATGGCTTTTGTGTCCTAGAGGTTGGGAAGACATTTCTCACTTAGCTGTCACTAAGTTTTAACTAAGAATATAAAATTTGTTGACTCTTCTAGGTTTATTAATTTTGTGAAAAACTACGAGAATCCAAATCTGACCATTTCTTTCACTACTGAGCGAAGTATTGAGGATGAACTGAATCGTGAGAGTAATGGTGATGTCTTCACGGTTCTGATCAGCTATGCCGTCATGTTTCTGTACATTTCCATAGCCTTGGGCCACATCAAAAGCTGTAGCAGGTTTCTAGTAAGTGGTGTGTGTGTGTGTGTGTGTGTGTGTGTGTGTGAGTGTGTGAGAGAGAGAGAGAAAAATGGCAATGCACAGCATGATATCATATTTTTGCCTCTACTTTTTTGCGGGGGTGGAGTGGGTGGAAGGGCAGAGAGAGAGAAAAAAAAGAAAATCCTGAGCAGGCTCTACGCCCAGCTGGAGCCTGACACTCGATCTCATGACCCTGAGATCATGACCTGAGCCAAAATCAAGAGTCAGATGCTTAACCAACCGAGCCACCCAGGCACCCCTGCCTCTACTTAGTTAATACTAAATCATTAGGTTCAAAACTGGTTTACATTCCCCTGTTTTCATTGTATGTAATATTTTCTATTTCCTGCATGTGTTTTCTTCAGTTCCAAATTTTTGGTTTATTTTAAACTTAAAATTTATTCCCCACAATCCAGTTTTTCCTAATTTGGCTACATCATCACCTAAGAATTGAAACCCATAAAACATGTTGCTTGCTAGGGAAGACCTAGAACACTTTTCAAAGCTTTTCTCAAACTCGGAGAGGACGTTTTTTTAAACTCCAAATCGGCTACACCCAAAAAAAGGTAAAATGAGGATCTTTTAGTCATAGGACAGATGACAGTCTGACGATTTGTCTTTGTTGCATGTCTTAGGTGGATTCTAAAATCTCCCTTGGCGTCGCCGGGATCCTCATTGTGTTGAGTTCAGTGGCGTGCTCACTGGGGATCTTCAGCTACATTGGGATCCCCCTCACCCTCATTGTGATCGAAGTCATCCCATTCCTGGTGCTGGCTGTTGGGGTGGACAACATCTTCATTTTGGTCCAGACCTACCAGGTATGTTTTCACAGTCTCACAGAGCTTGCCGTCGGCCCAAGTAGTGGGCTCTATTAATGGCTGTCGCGCTCCACGCAGAGTACTTGTGAGTGTGGACGTGAGACAGCTTTGTTTCCTATTCTCTCTGTTGCTGATTGGTGTCCATAACTTGTTTGGGACATTCTGAGACCAAGAAGTTCATCCTTCTCTTTGTTTGGAGAAATAGGTATAAAGTGAGAATTGTGTTTTTAAAGATTTTTTTTTTTTTTTTTTAATTCAAGAGAGAGAGAGAGTGCAGAGACAAGCAGGCTCCATGCCCGACTCAGCTCAGTCCCAGGACCCTGAGATCATGACCTGAGCTGAAACCAGGAGTCAGACACTTTACTGACTGAGCCACCCTGGTGCCCTGAGAATTCAGTTTTAAGTATGTGTGCAAGAAGGGCTTGCATGCTTGTGAAAAATATTTTGGATACAGCAGTTATTAAAATGAGTCTCCAATAGTGTAGAAGAATCAAAGATCTGTCAGAGATGCCACTAAAAAGATAGGGCAGCATAGGACCTGCTGATGTAGAAAATGGTCTCAATCATGATTTTTTCTCCCCTGGTCGCCTTACTTGGAGACTCAGTGGCACAGAAGAGTGTCACTTAATGGTCCAGCCACCTGCAGCTTGCGTTCTGTGTATTTTCCTGATAAGATGATCCAGTCTTCCCTTGAGCCTCTCACCTGTTTCCTGTCTTGGGGAGGGGGGAGGGGGAAGGGATTAGTGATTACCCTGGATGGGTTATCATGACAAGTTTCAGTCCCGCATCAAAGTTTATCTACGATAAGTAGAAGCTCGTAATCATTTTTCATTACCATTGAGTTAACACAAAGCAACAAAGAAGCAAAGAGATGGCATTGTCATTTAGAAATGTTAATGGCCCAGGGCGCCTGGGTGACTCAGTCCTTAAGCATCTGCCTTCCGGCTCAGGTCGTGATCCCAGGGTCCTGGTGCTAGGAGGGAAGCCGGCTTCTCCTCCTCCTTCCTCTCCCGCGGCTTGTGTTCCCTCTGTCACTGTCTCTCTCTCTTCAAATAAATCTTAAAAAAAAAAAAAAATGTTAATGGATGTTAATGGCCCGTGTTTTGTTTTTTGTTTTTTTAAGCGCGATGAACGTCTTCAAGGAGAAACTCTGGATCAACAGCTGGGCAGGGTCCTAGGCGAAGTGGCTCCTAGTATGCTCCTGTCATCCTTTTCAGAGGCTGTAGCGTTTTTCTTAGGTAATTACTCTCTGAATTCCACCAATCCCACCGTTTTCTGAGCCTGGGGGTAGAAGGATCTGTATGGGTATCTGAATATGTCCCTTTGTGTTGCTTCCTTGTTTGAGCTTTGATCTGTAATCAGAAAATATCAGAATGGACCACAAGAAAAATTAGTGGCAGTATCTTGGGTATCATTTTGGAAGTGTCCGCTTTTCTTTTTTCTTAGAGCGGGGAGGAGCAGAGGGAGAGAGAGGCTCTTAAGCAGGCTCTCCGCCCAGCGCAGAGCCTGATGCGGCGCCCCATCTCACGACCCCGAGATCATGACCTGAGCTGAAATCAGGAGTCGGCTGCCCGACTGACTGAGGCCACCCAGTGGCCCTCGTCTTTCTCATGTTGTTTCATGACAGTGTGGATGTTGGGGTCCGGGCTGACAGAGAACCTAGAGCTCCTCTGCCGCTTCCCCTTTTTGGCACCCGTGGCAAATGGGGGTCTTTGAAAACGGCATTCCCACATCCCCACAGGAGCCTTGCCAACACCGCACTCTGAGCGGAGTCCACAGGCAGAGACTGTCTTCCTCCGTCCACACAAGTCATCGGGGAAGCAGCCTCATTAACGAGCCCAGGTCCTTGGACCTCACCTCACTACAAGGAGCCAGAATAAGCTGGAACAAAACCCAGCGCTTCCTCTCTTTGCTCTGGAGAAATCACCACGCCGCCTCCCTAGTAGGGCTGTCTGCCCCCGGCTGCTGTGTGGCAACAGTAGGCCCAGAAAACCGAGTGCGTCCCCGGAGCGGGAGGCCGGGTCAGAGACGCCGGCGGTGGGCTGCCGGCTCTCACAGGGCCGCCCGTCAGAGGCGGCGGGCTTTCAGAACAGGCGCGTGCCCGGCGGACGGTCCGCCTTTCCGCAAAGCAGCGCGCTTTCACCTGTGGTCCTTACACTTCCTCTTGGTGGATACAGTGCAGAAAAAGTTATTTTCTCTCGTTTTCTCATCAGAAAATGTGATGATACTAGCAACCGATACTGTGCCTCAAGCCTGGAGTGACTGAAGGGGGACCGGAGGAGCAGGGAGCTCAGGTCTAAAAAAGGCAGTTACATGTTACTGGCCAGGTGCTGCTAGGTTCAGTTTGTTGTGTGTGTTTTTTTTTTTTTTTTAAGTGAAGCTGTGAATCTAGATTTTTGTGTTGAGTCTCCTTGTTAAGTATTGGCTACATTTTTTTTTTTTTTTTAAGATTTTAAAGAGAAAGAATGAGTGGTAGGGAGCGGCAGAAGCGGGGGTAGAGGGAGAAGCAGGCTTCCCGCCGAGCAGGGAGCCCGATGCGGGGCTCGATCCCAGGACCCTGGGATCATGACCTGAGCCGAAGGCAGCCGCTTTTAACCAACTGAGCCACCCAGGCGCCCTAATATTGGCTACCTTTTTAAGAAATGTTTTTTTCATCCTAAATGTGGACCATACAGGATACATCTGGCCTGTGGGCTGCTAGTTTGCAGTTTCTGGGTGTTAACCCGGTACTTCTGACTGGGAGCACCCTCATCTGATTGTAATGGAAGTGGGAGACTAATACTGTTGATCTAATAGCAGATGGAAAATACTGCTGTCCAGAGCAAAGCATAGAAGGTGCAAGAAGAAATGACCGATACTGATGGTGCTGAAAGTTTAATGTGCATAGATTTGTCTTGGAGAGCCTGTTATATACAGTTGAATTGGGTGTGAATTCCCACTGTACTGATGAAGTAGGCTAAGGGGAGAGCTCAGGAACCTACGTTTTTACCTCCCCAAGTGGTTCCGGTGCTGATACCATTTTGCAAAACACCGGGTGTATGGGTTCTTTGAGTTCTGGTGTGACACCCCCAGACTTGGGCGGCATTCCTCTGTGGGGGTGTGGGAAGCGCGGGTCTTCTCGTGGCTTCAGTCCATTCTGGCTCCTTGCGTTGCTGTGTACACAGGAGTGTAAGACTCGCACAGGGTCCCCTGCTGTTGGAAGTGACCGGGCAGCTTCTCTCCCCCTGCAGGAGCCTTGTCAAAGATGCCAGCCGTTCACACTTTCTCCCTGTTTGCCGGGATGGCCGTCCTCATTGACTTCCTGCTTCAGATTACCTGTTTCGTGAGTCTCTTGGGGTTAGACATTAAGCGTCAAGAGGTAAGTTGTTGTCAGGATGACAGTCTGTTTACAGTCTAGAATCAAAGTGAGGCGGCAGGAGGGTGTCACCTTTGCTCCTCTTTGTCCTCTCAGAAAAATCGCCTGGACATCCTTTGCTGTGTCAGAGGCTCTGAAGATGGAACTGGCATCCAGGCCTCAGAAAGCTGCTTGTTTCGGTTCTTCAGAAACTCCTATTCTCCTCTTCTACTTAAGGATTGGATGCGACCAATTGTGGTCTGAGTTTGTGGTTCTCCTCATTTTTCTCCCAAAAACAGATTTGTCACATGCCTTCTAAGAAATCAGCTTGGGTGGGGCACCTGGGTGGCTCAGTCGATTAAACTTCTGACTCGATGATTTCAGCTCAGGTCATGATCTCAGGGTCCTGGGATCGAGCCCCTTGTCAGGCTCAGTGTGGATTCTGCTTGTCCCTCTCCCTCTGCCTCTCCCCCCTGCTCGCCCACATACTTCTTTCTAAAATAAATAAATAAAATCTTAAAAAAAAAGTGTGGGAAGGAGATTCTGACAGCTGTTAAGTATATATATGAAATGCAAAAGCAAATATGTACAAGTATATAAAATATTTTTCCAGCTAGCTTTTAGCAGTCAATATAAGCAAGTTTTTATTTTGAAGTAATTACAGATTCATAGAAAGTCAAGAAGATAGTACAGAGAGGACCCAGGTGCCCCTTACCCAGCTTCTTCCTGTGGTCTTACACAATTGTAGTTGAGCGTCAAAACCAGGGATTTGACGTGGGCACAGTGTGTGTGTCTAGTTCCGAGTCCCTTTATCACATGTGCAAGCTGCAGGAACCACCACTGCAGTGGATATACAGAACCGTCCTGTCACAACACTCTCCTTACGCTGCCCGTCTATAGTGCCATGAGCCCCCCACACACGCGCACACCACCCACCGTCCCGAGTCCCCAGCAGCCGTGCAGGAGCTTTTTGTAGTTGACACACTGCATGTAGCCACCAGTGATAACCTGTCACTTCTCAGTGACTAAAAGAAGATGTATTAGTCTCCAGTAGTGGTAAAGTAATAGTAATACATAACATCTCATGAACACTTCATATTGGGTATCGTGCTAAATATTGGGTACAATGCTGAATCTGGATTATCCCCAGATTTTCTCGTGTAATCCACAAAACTTCTGTTACACATCTTTTATTTTTCCTGTTTTACTGATGAGGAAGTAGAAGCTGAGAGAGGTTTAGTGACTTCTCAGGGTCACTCAAATCCTGGAGGCAGGATTTGAACCCAGGCTGTTTGACTAGATACTATGATCTCAGCCACTATCCCCTACTCTCTACTTTAACATGGCGTGTAAACTTTTCAATTGCGAAAAGTCCTGTTTGTTTTTTTTAAAGATTTTTATTTATTTATTTGAGAGAGAGAGAGAGAGAGACAGCATGAGAGGGGATAGGGTCAGAGGGAGAAGCAGGCTCCCCGCTGAGCCGGGAGCCCGATGTGGGACTCGATATCGCCCAGGTCTCCGGGATCATGACCTGAGCCGAAGGCAGTCGCTTAACCAACTGAGCCACCCAGGCGCCCAGAAAAGTCCTGTTTTTAACGTGTGGAAGATCTTATCTATGTTCTTAAGCTCCAATACACGCAGTGTAGACACTGTCTTTACAACTCACTTTTCATTCCAGATAGCGGTATTTGTGGGTGTCCTGTCATTCAGTATCGCGGTCCTGAACAAAGTGGAAATTGGATTGGATCAGTCTCTTTCAATGCCCGATGTAAGCTGCTTTCTCTTTGATCTCGTGTAGCCAATGGTGTGAATAAATTTTCCCAATCTTGCGTGCAGTTATTCCAGGCCAATGCCTGCTTCTAATTGCACATGCTGCAGGTTCCCCCAGGTTACAAGAACCGCCACAGAGCTCAGCAGTGGGGGCCGTCTTTGCATTTGGGACTCTCGTGGGGTGGGGGGCAGCCGGAGAAATAGAACAGCAAGCCTTCTACCTCGTAGGGTGCCCTCCTGATGGTGGGCCAGCCAGAGAAGCACCTTGGGTGCAGGGAGGGTGAGGAGCAGGGAACCGGCTGGGGAGGGGATCCATATCTGGGCTGGGGCCGTCTCGACCAGCAGCATCCCAGTGCGGTCTTCATCCTTAGCCATTTTCCCCTCACTTTGACATCGGCAGCACGTTGCTACCTTGTCCTGTTCTCTGATCATTCTTTCAGGACTCCTACATGCTGGATTACTTCAGGTCCCTCAAATACCTGCATGCGGGTCCACCTGTGTACTTCGTCCTGGAGGAAGGGCACGACTACACCTCTCTGAGAGGGCAGAACATGGTGTGCGGGGGCATGGGCTGCAATAACGACTCCCTGGTGCAGCAGATCTTCACCGCGGCCCAGCTGGACAACTAGTCAGTACCGCCTGGCGTTCTTGTCCTGTAGCGGAGGCTGCCGGAAGGGGCCCTCGGCCACCGTCCGCGTGGGCCTATTTCTCACTGAAAATAGATTTGCTAGAAAATGTGTTGCTCAAAATCATGCTAACTCTAGCTTTACCTCAGCAAAAGCTTTAAAAGGACTAACTGAGGGTGGGGGGATGGGTTAGCCTGGTGATGGGTATTAAAGAGGGCACATACTGAATGGAGCACTGAGTATTATATGCAAACATGAATCATGGAACACTACCTCAAAAACTGATGTAATGTATGGTGATTCACATAACAATAAAAAATTATTTAAAAAAAAAATAAAAGGACTAACTGACCAGCTCCCATCTTGAAGGGTTTCCCCCTTTTTTTTTTTTTTAGTTTTTATTTTTTTATTTGACACACACAGAGAGATAGCGAGAGAGAGAGCGAGCGAGAGAGCACAAGCAGGGGGAGCGGCCGGCAGAGGGAGAAGCAGGCTTCCTGCATGAGCAGGGAGCCCGATGTGGGGCTCGATCCCAGGACCCTGGGATCATGACCTGAGCTGAAGGCAGCGGTTTAACCAACTGAGCCACCCAGGCGCCCCGATCTTGAAGGGTTTTCCATTAGGTGGTGATGAAGTCTGTCCTTTGCGCAGCAGTGTAACATCTAGAAAAAGCAGTTAGGTTTCGAGAAAAAGGACTGAATCTGGAAACATCCCCCCCGCCCCCCCCCAACACGGAGCAAGTCAGTAACTTCTCCCTCCTTCTTGCTAGTACCCGAATAGGCTTTGCGCCCTCGTCCTGGATCGATGATTATTTTGATTGGGTCAAGCCTCAGTCTTCTTGCTGTAGAGTCTACAACAGCACAGATCGTTTCTGCAACGCTTCAGGTACTTTCATCTCCTTTTCCAGATCTTTTCCTTTTCTCTGAAGACTTGTGACATTATAATTTAAAACTGATTGGCATTTCACCTGTTTCTACCGGCACCGGTCCCGTTTCCTTGGTCACCATCCCTCTCCTCAGCCGTGCTCTCTGAAGGGTGTCGTGGTGTTCTGTCTCCCTCCACCCCCCACCACAAGGCTGCAGGCCAAACACAGTCCTGGTCAGGGGACTCTGGTTTTCAGAGTCTTCGGGGTTCTCCCAACACCACTAATGGAGTCCCTTGGTTGGGGTCTGGCTGCAGCATCGCACAGGGGTCCTTCCCTTTGTTAATCACTATTGCCCTACAGTTTTGTTAGGAGTGTTGAGGTTGTCCTCGAATTTTCTCGATAAAAACACGGAAGCCTTGGACTCCGATAATACCAGCTGAGGTCATCCCCCAGGGAAGGCAGCCTGCTTCAGGGAAGAAAGTTTGTACAGCCTGCCTCAGATGAAGATGGACTCTCAGGTGTATTAGACTGTGAAAATCACGTGTGTTGGAAGCTTTGGGGTCAGGAAAAAGATTAGGGAAATTTCCCTCAGATCTTTAAATGTTTGAAAATAAAATCTGGAGCCTCGTTCTTCTCACCTCGGCCCCTCCTGTGTCTTTGCTAGTGGTTGACCCTGCCTGCATCCGCTGCAGACCTCTGACCCCGGAGGGCAAACAGAGGCCTCAAGGTGAAGACTTCATGAGATTCCTGCCCATGTTCCTTTCTGATAACCCAAACCCCAAGTGCGGCAAAGGGTAAGTGCCATTGAGCTGTGCGGAGAGGCGCCCCGTTGCGGTTATGTTGCGCAGGACGGCTAGCAGAGGGCTGGGTGGCGGCAGCTGTCTGGGAGAGGTCCCTCTCTTCCCCTCCCCACCCTGCCCCGATCTTCTGTGAGAGCAGAAAAACTTCAAACACCCATGAGGAGAGCGTCTCCTCATCTCACGCTGGTTTCACCCTGGCTCGAGCGTGTGTCCCGCCCTCGGAGCGCCGTGCCGGCGTCTAGCAGGGCAGGAGGGGAGCAGGGATGCGCGGCGTCTCAGAACGCGTTCACGTCCGTCTCAGGGACGGCTCCTCGGCTCGGTCACGTCACCCCGGATCGAGGTTTGGGTTCTTGCAGCCCCGCCGTTCTTGCCAGCCTGTCTGGCTGTGAGGTTGTGGGCTGTGTCACGCCCTCACCCCATCGAGCCGGGCAGCCAGTTAGCCAGGGACACAGGACGTCTGGGCCCAGAAATAGGGAAGATGCCTGGAGGCCTGGGGTGGGATGATTCAGAACCTCTGGTAGGAGGAAGCGTGTCCACACGTATGTTAGGTAAAGCCTGGACTTGCCCGTTTTCCCTAAGAGTATAGACCTCGACCAGAATCCCATCAGTCAGTCATGTATATCCTGGCCGTGCTTGGAGACCCACACTCGGTACCGAGGAAGGACAGTGCCTAAAAATAAAAATGAATCTTGCAGCTTGGTCTGCTTGTTGACTGAATGCTTTGGCCTACATAAAACAAATCCAAGTACATTCAGCTTTTAGGAAGACAACAGCCACCACTTACAGGGAGCCTCCTACGTGCCCACCTCATCACTCTTGCCACACAGCCCCTGAGGAGGTGGCAAAGGACACCGCAGCCCAGATGCAGTCCCTTTGCCCAGGGTTCCGTGGCCAGTACGTGGCAGGGCCGAGACCCGTCTCACAGCCATGGACTCGGGGCCCTTGTCCTTTCCCTCCTGTGACACAACAGTGCTGAGCAGTCACTGTAGGAAGACACAGATAGGGGAACGAGCACCTGTGCACCCAAACAACCAAAAGCACTACAGAAAAGCCAGCGTGAGAGAGGATGAGCCAGAACCCCCACCGTCCCCTCTCGGGGGGCCTTCCCTGTCCCTGAAATCTACAGCTCGTGTGCCTCTGAGCCCGGGGTCGGGTGATTCCACTTGGCCTTGCGTGCCCGGGTTCTGCGGGGACTTTCTGAGGCCTCTGACACCACCGAGTCTTCCCGTAGGGGACATGCTGCTTACAGTTCAGCCGTTAACATCCTCGGCAACGACACAGGTGTCGGAGCCACGTACTTCATGACCTACCACACCGTGCTTCAGACCTCTGCTGACTTCACTGACGCCATGAGCAAAGCCATCCTCATCGCCAGGAACATCACCACAACCATGGGCCTCGAAGGAAGTGGTTACCGTGTGTTCCCGTACAGGTAGTGTGAATTTTATAAGCGAGGTCCTGGGTTAGGGCCCACATCCCTCCCCTGGTGGGATGCTGACCCTTGGCTTTCGTTCTGACACCTTCTCCATCATGAGCACGAGCAAAGAATATCAAGGGAAGTAGCATCTGGGCGAAGGAAGGCCAGGGTCTGGAGCACCCACCAAGGTCTGAGTGCCGGACCCACAAAATTTGGTCTCTGGGCTGAAGCTCACAATCTGAAGAAGACACGCACCGAAACAGCCCCCGGGGCGGGAGGGCGCAGTACCGGGGGACGGGGCTTCACTGAGCGGGCGGAGTGGACATTCCCGCCCGGTAGGCACCGGCTGCCCCTGACTGCAGATTAGCTGGGACCAGTGTCTTTATGGAGGTTTTTCAGTTTTGTTTGTTGAGGTTTTCTCCTGTAAAGTATTTTAAGAGATACCAAATTTGGAAACTATTAAAAAGTAGAAGAAACAGGTGGTTTTTTCCCCACCCCTGTGATCTTGCTTAAAGGGGTTCAGACCCATTCTTGACAGGAGGACAGCCTGTTTTTCTGTGGAAGAAGTTCTCAGAATGGGTGTCCTAATTCCAGAGAAGAGCTGACTGACTTTGCCAAAAAAGCATTTTCTCCTCAGGCCCCACACAGAGCCCATTTGGCCTGAGGTAATTCTCAGGATAGATCAGGACTTGTGTTTTCAACATACCATGACATACTCTGTAAATGCCTATGAAGTGAAAAGGTTGGGCTTATGAACAAAAACTTTTATCTGAAATACACCTTTTGGATCATTAGGCCCTTCTTTGGGCATCAGTGGTCAGAGGTTCTGTAGAGGAGTTTTGCAAACAAAACAGGGAGTTTTTATGCAAGGGATGTCTCTGAGTAGTTTCAGTTTTGCAGTACCGGCAGGATGAAAAAAAAGTAGAGCTTCCAGAAGCAAGCACAAGCTGTAACAGAACCTTCTCCTCTCTTCTCCAGTGTGTTCTATGTCTTCTACGAACAGTACCTGACCATTATTGATGACACGATCTTTAACCTCAGCGTGTCCCTGGGAGCCATCTTCTTGGTGACCTTGGTTCTCCTGGGCTGTGAACTGTGGTCTGCAGTGATCATGTGTGTCACCATCGCCGTGATCGTGGTCAACATGTTTGGCGTCATGTGGCTGTGGGGCATCAGTCTGAACGCAGTTTCCTTGGTCAACTTGGTTATGGTGAGTCCTGGCCTGGTTTGTCCCTCCCTCCTGTGTCCCTTCCATGAACTGTTTCTTGGGGTAAAAGACCGAGGCCAGGTCTTGCTCTTGGACAGGTGGGATGGGTGCTAATGGAGTGGGGACATGGGTGGTACGTAGAACAACGAAAATGTGACTGTGTGGTGTCGTGGGGGTGTTTTGCCTGGAACTTCTATCCTGACGGGTTTGCAGAAACACGTAGCCTAATGACAAGACGTTCACTTTTTATTTAGAAAAAATGCTCCCTCCCAGTGGAATTCTCTACCAGCACCTTCTGCTTCCCATGCAGTTGCCAGGTGCTTTCTGATAGTCTTGAAGAGAAGAGCGTTTGGGAGAGTATTAAGATGCAGCATGTCTGTACTTAGGATACGAACGCTGCAGGGGGAGTGGCAGGGAGGCCCAGCTAAAGCAAATCTGAGGGGTGCTGGCTCTTGAGGGGTGGGGGTAACCTTACGAGGGTTCCACAGGAGCCCCTACAACAGGCAGGTCTACTGTAGAGAAGCGGAGCTCTGGGTGCTGTGCCCCCAGGGTCCCACGAGTCGCCTGGTACGCCTGCAGTTGGTGTGGTGGGGGCTGAGTGTCACAAGGTAGAGAGGATGTGCAGGGCTCCTGCGCCCCTGGGGCGCCCCACACGCCGGCTCCTGGGAGAGGAGTATGTGCCTGCTTAGGACTTTCAGCCGCAAGAGGGCAGTCTGACGGGAGCCCTGTTTTTCAGAGCTGTGGCATTTCCGTGGAGTTCTGCAGCCACCTGACGAGAGCGTTCACAGTGAGCACGAAGGGCGGCCGCGTGGAACGGGCCGAGGAGGCGCTCTCTCACATGGGCAGTTCTGTAAGTAGCCGGGCCGGAGATCTCCACACACACGGACCAGCCCATCAGCAGTGCTTCTCAGGAACCGGGAAAGTCAGTAGGAAAAACAGAATTTGAATTACTTAGCCACTCCCAAGGATGACAGGTCTTCGGGCATTTCACGAAACAGCTATATCCCGACGTTATTCAGAACTGTTTCCTTTGGTGAATCCTTTATAGACCATGGAGCAGGAAGAGAACAGAGAGGTCTGAGCATGCGTGTTGACCGCAAGGGAGCTGTGGCCCTCAGAGCCTGGAGAATCTTCTTAGTTTAACTCCATAGCCTGCTTCCACCTTTCAGCCAGTCACTTTGCCACTCCAGAAAATAGTTAAGAGTTCTCATCTAAAACTACAAGGAAATCTGTTTACAGACAGAGTCCAGTGTCTATGCAGAATACACAGCTTTTGCCCTTACACCCTTTTTTTTCAGGTCTATAAGCAGCAAATCACACAATTTTAGGAAGAGCAGTACTGCTTGTAACTGAAAGCTGGGTTCGCCCTGTTGCTTTGGGCCTTGCCCATCAAGAAATCACCGTAAGTGTTGAATTAGAGTAGGTTGGTTTAAGAGCTTTCCAACCCTGTCTCTTTTTTCAGGTGTTCAGTGGAATCACACTAACAAAATTTGCAGGGATTGTGGTGTTGGCGTTTGCCAAATCTCAGATCTTCCAGATATTTTACTTCAGGATGTATCTGGCTATGGTCTTACTGGGAGCCACCCATGGCTTGATATTCCTCCCTGTCTTACTCAGCTACATAGGTAAGCATTCTTGTTTCTGATTTTATTTATTTATTTGAGAGAGAGAATGATATAGAGAGCATGAGAGGGGAGAGGGTCAGAGGGAGAAGCAGACTCCCCGCTGAGCAGGGAGCCCGATGCGGGACTCGATCCCGGGACTCCAGGATCATGACCTGAGCTGAAGGCAGTCGCCCAACCGACTGAGCCACCCAGGCGCCCAGCATTCTTGTTCCTAAGCAAGTGGATGGAGGAAGCATGCTACTAAAGGAAAAGAGATCTGGAAACATTCTTAAATGGTACTTAAAAAAATTGTGAGAGGAAAACCATCCAGTCTAGAGGTTTCATGGATGGTCCGGACGGCTTCCTTAGTAAACTGCTGATGCTTTTCCTGGAGGCCCCGCCCGGCTGCCGCACAGGGCCCCGCAGTCAGCCGGTGAAGGGTGAAGGCGCTTGTATGGCAGCGCCACGCCCCGAGAGGAGAGGCCGGAGTGGCTCAGGTGCCAGGCTGGCCCAGCGGTGCTGCAGAGCGCGCTTACTCCCCGCCTCACCGCCCGCCCCAAGAGCCGCCTCTGCTTCTCTCATTTCGAGACTGTCCTCAAGATCTTTCTACTTCCGTGGCCACTTCAGCTTCCATAAATGACGTGTGGTTGGAAGGGGAGGACGGGACCAGCCTGCTTGCTCTGGAGCTGTATAAGAAGCTAAGGCGGTGGGGGGCAGAAAGTTGGTACTGTAATAGAACTACCCTATCGCCTTTTCTCCTGAAGAAACGATCCAGGAGTTGTATTTTTTTTTTCCTCTCTCTCACAGGCCCATCAATAAATAAAGCCAAAAGTTCGGCCACTCAAGAGCGATACAGAGGTACAGAGCGCGAACAGCTCCTCAATTTCTAGCCTCTCGCGAGGTTTGGGGACTTCAAACTGTGTGTGTGGGTCGGTCGGTTTGCTGCTCGACAGTCGCCGTGTTGTCCGGGCAGAGCCGGACCACAGCGACACCAGGCTCGAACAGCGGCAGCTGCAGCCCTAGTGCTTTCGGATCCAGGACCGCCAACCTGACGTGTGAAGCAGTATTACCTAATCGGAAGGCAGCTCCAGGACGCCCAGGGGTCTTCCACATTCTCCGGGAACGAGACCTAATTCGGGCAGGCGGAAGGGGCACGAGCGAAGCTGAGTGGGATCTGCTCCCTGACCCCTTCTAAAGGCCAATCAATGCAATGTTTTTTGTTTGTTTTTGGAGTAAGCCATCACACAAGTTCTATACCATATTTTTAGTAACACTTGAGGATGTTGTAGATACTTTAACATTTTGTAGTTTAAAGAGCTTTATTAATGCAATAAATTAACTTTGTACACATTTTTATATATATAAAAAAACTAGCAAGTGATTTCAGAATGTTGTAGGCCTCATTAGAGCTTGGTCTCCAAAAACCTGTTTGAAAAAAGCAACATGTTCTTCACAGTGTTCTCCTATAAAGGAAATAGATTTCGTCAGAGGTGGCACAAAAAAGAGGAAAACAAGAGAATGAACACTTTACAGCTCATAGATATGTATGGTGGGGGTTTTAACATTTTCCTTCATAAAATACTTTGTTTTCCTAAGCTTTTGAGTTGTCCTTTCTATTTATACAGCTCCTGCCAGGGCTGCTGGGCACCTTCACGATTCACACCCCAGCAAACCGCGTTTGGGACAGGGCTACAGCAGCTCGCCTGTCCTGGCAGCGTCGCCCCGCACGGGTCCCTCAGCTACAGAAAAGCCGAGGGCCTGTAGCAGAGCGTCACATGCTCCTTCCCCACCCTGAAGAAGCTGGCTGCCTTAGGTTTCATAACTTGGGAGACTTAGCCTAGGTTTCCTAAGACCCCGGGTCATCTGACACACCTTAGTTACCATTTCCAGTCACCATTTCCTGTCTTGTCCCTGATTTCCTCAGAAAGCAGCATTCCCAGATCAGTGGCAGGCCGGAGCTGGGCCCACACCGCCGCCCTGGCCAGAACTGCATTCGCTGCAGGTTCCAGAGTGCAGTTCCCTCTGAGCACCATCACAGAATTTTGTTTCTAAAAAAGCTAACCCAGGAGTTCTTAGGAGAGCTCCCAAAAAGGCTTCTCGCCCCCCAGCCTGCCTGCCTGCCTGTGTTCTCTTGCTACTGTGAGTCTGTTCACCCCCGCTCTCTCCAGTGCCGCCACATCCTCACCTGGTGTGAAGTTAGGGTTCCCTCGCAAACGCTGGTTTCGCTGTTCAAAAAACCGAAATATAGTATAGAAAAGCATGTTGTCTTCAGTCTGCTTCGCGGCATCTAAAAATTTTCGTGCAGAAATGTTGTCATGGCCGCCAATGCCCCGGATGAACCGTAAGGCCGCTAACACTTGGTGTTTGGAAAGCAGCACTTCCACGATCTCATCATTTGCAGTCGAGAGTCGCTGGGAGGGAGGGAGGGAGGAAAGTCCGGTAAGTGCCAGCGATAGGAACAGACTGGAATGCAGTTTAGAACGCCGCTGTAGCAAAAGTTACCTTCAGCATATCCAGAGACAGCTGGTGGGCAGGAGGGTAAAAACTTTCTAGGGATAAGAGCAAACAAGCCTGAAAGACACATTTTCAAACTGGCTTCAGCATAAGATGTTAAGAGGATTAAAGGTGAAGTCTTGAATCCCACAAGCACAGACCTGGGGCCACATACCAAAGGCTTGGAGTCGCTGAGAACATGGTACTGCAAGAACTGATGCAGCATATAGAAGAGATTGTGCTGGACCAGCGTCTTGATGACGAGCTCGTGTAAGTAGTGCTGAGGACAGAGACGGAAGGAGAGCCCGTTTCCCAATCACCCACCTACACCAGAGGAGAGGCCACGGGGGTCCAGGACCGGAGCTGTTCTGAGGGATGGGTACGTGTTTCCACGACGAAGGGGAGAGGTTTCTGTCACCCGCGCGTCGACAGGACACGTGACACCACATCCCTCATCCCACCACAGAACAACACGGTAGTGTCGGGAAAGTCAGAATGCCGAGTGAGGCCCCTGCTTCTCTAACTCGGGACAACACATGCTGACTGGAAGGTACCTGTACTGTGATCTGAAACTGGTTGAGAGAGCGAATATACTCCATAAGAACGGCGATCACAAATTTATGAGGCATGTCCTACGGAGGAAAAGGAAAAAAATGTCTTAATACTAAAGACGCGTGAGGAGGCCGCCTGCAGCTGGTTTCTCCACCCCTTGTTTCCACATGAATCTGGCCTAGTGTTCTATTTCGCCGGTTTTGCACAGATCCCAAGAACCTCCCGTCCATGGTCACGTTTTGGCTGAGTATTATAAGTCAAACTATTAGCACTAGCTCTCCACCCAAGATAGCTCCAGTCAGACTAATCACATTCTGAGTTCTACCCCGCAAACAAGATGCGTGTGTGGAGGAGCCGTCACCCACCTTCTCCGTGAACACCGACAGGACGTGCGTGTACATGTCGGACTGATCGATCACCGCCTGGGTCCGCACCGGCCTCCTGAGAAGCGGACTGCTCCGGCTCTGCCCGGCTTCCAGTGCCTGACAACACATCACAAATGTGACCTCACCCATCTTCTCGATAAGCCCAGAAGGCTCGATTCCTAGACCCTGTGAGCCTCAGACAGGCGCACAGGGTGGCGCTTCCTACTCGGACAGAACGATTTCTCCCGTGCAGGCTGGGGCAGGGTTTAGGAAGCCAGAGTTGGTCATCTGGAAAACAGGCTAACGTTCATGAATGGGAATTACAGAACGATTTCTCCCGTGCAGGCTCGGGCAGAGTTTAGGAAGCCAGAGTTGGTCATCTTGAAAATAGGCTAACGTTCATGAATGGGAACTAAAAGGCATAAATCCGTTTCCTCTTGAGACACATTTTCTTAACCTTAAAATCCCTAATTTACTTAATCACGGACTTTCTGGTGTTTGTTACCTAATAAATACAGAATGGCGTCCTGCATCTTTATGAAGCCCTGATCCTACAGTAAGTAAATACCGTGATTAAGACTCCATGTCTGGATGTCCGAGTGGTAAATAAGCCTCCCCAAATACTACAGGCTGGGAAAGCCTTGTGAGAAGATGGACTCCTTCAGCTGGCTCTGTAAGGCAGTCTGCCACAGTGCACACCGTGCAGGAGCTGTGGCGGGGGCCTGAGGGGCTCTGACTAGCAAGGGCAAGGGCTGAGGAAGCCTTGGAGCCAGAGCAGGGATGCACAGAAGCCCACGGGGATCAGCCCTCCTGCTTCCCACAGCCTCGTACACCAGCGGCAAGGCTGGGAAGGCTCTGGAAGAGCTCAGCCCTCCTCTGCCCCCTTCACGTCTAACAGGACAGGGACAGGCGTGCTCCAAGGTCACTTGGCCTTTAGCAGCCTGCGTCAGTCCTGTCACCCTGAGGAGCTGAAAGGGAAGGCAACTCTGGGTTTCTCATTGCTTAAAACCACTTCCACTTTAAGCCTTAGGACTCATCAGATCCTTGAAGTGAACTACTTCATTCCACTCATCCTAACGGCATAGCAGAACGTGGTTCTGAGCCATGTTAATGTCTCCAGCCCTTCGCGACAAACACTTGAGCCTGCCACGTGAAAGCACAGCGCTGATACTTAATCGCTATCCTGACAGGACGCTGACTGCCGACATGAGCCTTTCCTTTTGGGCTGGGAGAGCGATAAAAGTAAGAGGATGTGACAAAATGATTATCCTTCTAATTTATTAGGTCTAGGCTCTGACTCAGCAGGAGGTATAAAATAACACAAAGCTGAAACCAATTTTCTTATCCTTAAAACACGTAAGACCAAGGATCTACGACCCCGTGTGAGACCTGACACAGACGAAAAAGAGCAGAGCGTGCAGGCAGCGTTGGGCTGGTGGGCCGCCCACACTGAGGCTGCTGCTCCCCGACTCCGGCCACCGTGCCCCCTGCCCGCAAGCCTCGGTGGTGTCATGCCTCCAGAACCCTGCATCCTAATTAGGAAACACGGGGGCGGGGAGAGTGGAGAGGAGCCCACACAGCTTACCGTCGTGTAGCTCTGCTCCACGTCCAGGTATTTCTTATACTCGTGATTGAGTTTGTCAAAAACTGTGGCGATCACAGGTAAAGTTGCTCTGTCTGACTCACTCAGCACTGGAAAGAACGTTCACACAGATGAACCGAGTGTACGTCTGTTCAGAACGCAAACATGCTGCTAGGATAGAAAGAGCTAACCCCAAAGGGCTCCCAGGGCAAACCTACCTCCAACAGGCATCCAGAGAAATGGAATCATTTGGAGACCTGGAGCCTAGAATTCACTCCCCAGCCTTTCCTGAGGACTAGAAAAAGTAGCTACGGAGGGTTTCAGCAGAAAGTGCTCAAAGTAGAGATCTATGTAGTGAGTGACTTGGATTCTGGAAAATGTCTGTTTTCAGGCTGGGGATGCCCTACCCTCAGATGCACCAGCTGTGTCTAGGTTGCTCTCACCTGGAACCATCCTATTTAGCTTTTCTCCCCAAGTCACCACAAGTCATTTTGATAGTTCATCACCTTTCCAGAGGATTAAATAATCCACCCTTCAAGTGAAGGATGAAGCCACAGGCTGTGCACAAAGCAGAAAAATATGGCCCAGCTCCCAAGAAAGGGTTTGGGCGGGGCGCCTGAGTGGCTCAGTCGTTAAGCGTCTGCCTTCGGCTCAGGTCATGATCCCAGGGTCCTGGGATTGAGCCCCACATCGGGCTCCCTGCTCAGCGGGAAGCCTGCTTCTCCCTCTCCCACTCCCCCTGCTTGTGTTCCCTCTCTCGCTGTGCCTCTGTCAAATAAATAAAATCTTAAAATAAAAAGGATGTGGGCAGCACAGGCCCAACCCCAGAATCAGACTGAGGTGGGAGGACTGGTCCACTTACTCTGCGAACAGACAGACAGGATGACCATCTTGCACTCCTTTCTCTGGAGGAGAAAGTCCATCAGTCTTCCTTTATCTGGCAAGAGGTTTACGATGGGCTGAAGCTTCACTTGGAGGTTCCAGAGGTAGCCTAGATGGAGGAGGCAGCAAATTTCATACAGGATGCAAATCAGAACAAAAGCCCAAAAGGTGGTTCCCTGAAACATTCATGGGCGGGGGGGGGGGGGGGGACTCAGAGCAGTTCCTTCCCTATACCTAGCCCCCTTTTAAGCCTTGAAGGTTGAACAAGATGCTAACGTGTGGTATGAACTTGGGTCCTATACTCTGATTTCTCCTGCAATGGTTCTTCAGTCAAAAGGTAACTCCGCAGTCTCCTAAGGAATTTCATAGTTCATCCATTCATCAATCCATGACTTTCCCAAACACCTACACTGCCAGGGAGTGCCTTTCTCAATCGGGGTTCCACAAGAGAATTCAACACTGCATTAAACATGATCTGAGTGATCCCCTTCTCGATTCTCCCACAGCTGGTCCAGAGCTAGTGCCGTTCTAGATGGAGACGAGAGAACTCCACGTGCAGTGGATCCCACAGGTACCACGGCTGAGTCTCCCCCTGAGAATTCGCCTTGAGAATCCCAGGGGCCGAGGCGGGAGAACGCACGGATGACTGAAGACAGATGTAGGAAGTCCTCTAACGGGAAGATAAAGGGGCTAGGGGGTTACCAGGAAAACAACAAGCATC